TCTGAAAGTTAAGTATATCCTGGATCTCCTGTGTGCTTCTGTTACCATGGCAACTGATCCCTTAAACTAACATGATCTTAACCCTTCAGGTGAAACCACCAATTTAGTATAAAGCTCAGGTTTGTATCAGTATCAGAATAGAATCTTTGCAAAGAACTCTATTAACTGCACTAGAAAATAAGCATTTATTATCTTTTATTTTTATTGTTCAAACCACTGATCCAACACTGAGCCAATCAGAAGAGAGGCTCAGAGCCTCCTCTCTTCTGATTGGCTCAGAAACCTGTTGTTACTAGAGCTCCAGAGAGAAGCCTGAGAGAGGAGATGTAAAACTACACTGAGATGGTTTTTGGTTCTTAAAATATATCTTCTTATGGATCAAATAAAACATTGGAAAAGTGTAAAATATGGGACCCTTATTAGAGCCGAATTCCAAATAAAGCTGTTCTCATTTATATGTTTCTCTGTTTCTGTTCTCAGACAATGAAACAAGTTTGAAAATGACTGAAACGTGGTCCATTAAGACTACATGTCCAAGCAATTTCCAAGCTGCTGCTAAAATCCTGATTTTATATTGTCATCTGAGAAACTCTCCATACACATAAATTACAGACTGTGCTGTGACTTTGTCGACTGCGACAATGTTTTTCAGCACGATAATCTTCACAAATGAACACCACGTTTACCAATGTTCACCACTGTAAAGGTGGATTGGTTGATCGGTTTTTCGTGTTCGGCGTGTTGACATTTAACGTCCTTGTTAACTTCTGTAGTCTTCGAAGTCTAAATTTAGGGACAAATGGGCAACTCAGTCAGTCAGTCAGTCAGTCAGTCACAGGCACAATTATAGGAGTGGTCCTGCTATTGCAGTCCAGCCAAAAAAGGCTATTTCCAAAAATCACAAACTATTTCTTGGACTTCCTGTCTGGAATATCAGATTGATCTTAACCAAACTTAATAATTGTGCATGATATAAGAATCTTATCCCCTCAAGGGTTTTAAACACTTGTATAATGTTCATCAAGACACAGTAAAATGGTGGCTTTTAGTGGCCACACACTTCATAAGGACAAAGTGTTTAGGTGCTTTATTTTGGTCTGATAAGGCTGCATTCGGTGTGATCTATTTTCAATATATTTGAGTATGTGCTAACACCTGCATTGTAATTACAGAATCATGCTAAGACCCAAGAAAGAAGCATGCTTCAAGTGTTCCATGAAGTTTGTTGCTGTCAAAAGACAGCTACTATAAAGTCCGAGTGAGCCCCAATGTGATTGTATCTTGTGGTCTGATGTACAGAGAGGCAGGGTGTCCACGTCGGCCAGCGTCACACCTCAAAGCTAATTTCTCTTGACTGTCCAAACAGGGGCTCTGAAGCCAGCTGCGTGTCTGAGTAGGCACGCCGCAGGTGTGTGGAGCTGCATGTGGTCTTGATGGCAACCTCATAGGGAGGCGGGGGTCCCAGCCAAGGAGGAGGGTGAGGTGTTGGACTAAAACCACCAGAGTCCATGGGAGGGTAGTCGAATTCCTCGCCACGAGCACCATGTCTGTGGCGTTCCATTGTCCTGAAAACAGTGGTAGTAAAATATCAGGGGAAAACAATCATGTAGAAACACAAATTGATATGTACAGTGCAGCTCTGAGGTGTCAGCAGTTGTAGAGATCAGATACTAAACAGCAGCTGGAGTCGTGTTCTGTTGGCAGTCGTGTACACAGTAATTGGGTTTCACAAAGTCCTAATGGACATCCTGGCAGTGTGGGATAATAAAAGTTTTCAAATAATGACTGTGGTCTGAGCGAGCCATGTGGTTTCTCTCCAGATAGACTAGTTTATTTCACTAACTAGCACACATCCAATAAGACTTGCAGGATTAGCTAGCTAATCAGCTGGTTTGGTTTAAATGACTTGAAGTCACTTTTTAATCCTAACTCATTCAAATAAATAGTTGATAAAATACACTTTCCTGCAAAGAGTTAAATGATTGATTACCATTTTCATGCCTGTGCAGTAAATATGAAGTTACAGCTAGCAGCCAGTTAGCTTAGCCTAGCATAAAAACTGGAAAAATGAGGAAACAGCTAGCCTCGCTCTGTCCAACAGTAATGAATGTTACCTACTTTAAGCTTATTAAATGATATATTGCATGTTTTATATATCTTGTCTGGTTTTATTCTTGGGTTTTCTTACAAGTTAAAGGACTGAGATATGCTAATTTGTCAACTTTAAACTTTTTGACAGAGCCAGACTAGCTGTGCACATGTGTTTCCGGTCTTTATGCTAAGTTAAGATAATGGGTTCCTAGCTATAGCTTCATATTTAGCGCACAGAGTGGTATCAATCTTCCCATCTAATTATCAGAAAGAAAGCAAATAAGTGAATTTCCTAAAATGTTAAACTGCTCCTTTAACTTTCTTTTTTGACTATTATTATTGATAATTGTGCATCTTGTCTGTGGGCAGTGTCCATCCAGGGCTTAAGTTAAAAGGCTCATACGTATATTTGGCAGAATGAATAAGAATAAAGTAAAAAAAAGGGAATTAATCTTAGAAAATATGCAGTTGCTGTGGTCTGCCTGCAACACCCTGGTACAGTTATCTGTGTGCATGTGCAGCTCTATCCCAGAAGAAACTGATATATGAAACCTTGACGTGATCAAATATTGAGCAACAACAGGAAGAATGAATTGGATAACATGGAGACAGCAGACAGCATCAGTGATTAGGATCCAAACTGCATTATGTTTTAGGATCTAAATTATATTCTTTAGGTTAACTACTTTATATTTTTTATTGTTAATATAAAATATATGTAATTCAATAAACCTCCGTCTTATTTTCTGACTTCTGGATAAAATTGATCTTAATAACAAATACAGCTTGAACTGTGCAAAGCAGCAATACGCATATCTTAAATGACTGGCATTTTTCCTTCACCCACCTGGGCAGAAACACAGACTGGGACTCTGGGAAGCGGCTCCCCGGGGGTGTGAAGAGGGCATGGCTGCCGAAGTTGGGGTAGTCATATGGATAATGTGGGCACTCTGGGTCGAACTCCCGGTGGTTGTAGTTTGCGGCACTTTTGCTGTTCATTGCCCAGAAGAGCCCCAGGATGAGCATGACCACCCCCAGCACCACACAACAGAGGGAGAAAGCCTGCAGGCGGCTCTGGTACGAGGCCAGGAAGGCTGTGGACCCCCCAGTCACAATGAGGAAGACTCCGATGAAGATAGCTCCGTGGTGCAGGGAAGGCATCCTCCTCCAGGACCGTGACTGTTTCTGAGGTTACTGTGCAGGCTGTGACCGGCTGGATGTGTCACTCACGCACCAACGGTCCCACAGAGTGCGCTCCCCATGCGCTCTGACACTGACCAGACATCCAAATGATTCTCTCCACAGTCACTGAAATCCTGCTATGACAAGGAAAAGCTCACTTACTTATTTGTTCCCATCAGTTCCATGTCCCATACTGATAAAAACCGATGATCATATGGTCCATGTGTTAGTCCTTACTCGTAGATCTGCAGCTCCTGTGGAAAAGTGATAAAACTGATGGTTTGTTGGGAAAATAATGAAAAATAAAACGGTGAAGGCTTTGATGCGCGTCAGGCTAATGTGGAGAAGCTGTGTGTTTATCATCAGGGCAGATGGACGAGAGGGCGGCAGAGCCCATTAAGAAATCTTTACTGGTGCCCCACCCTCCCTCTGTCTAATGTGTCTGAAGGGTACCACTTTAGCCCTGTGTGTGTGTGTGTGTGTGTGTGTGTGTGTGTGTGTGTGTGTGTGTGTGTGTGTGTGTGTGTGGCTCAGGACCTTGCAATTTCTTTAAACATAAATTGTCCTGTTGGACAAGAAATAAAGGGAAATTCAGAGCTGCATACTTTAATAAAATAAGGCGTTTTATAACATAATTGTGTCAGGTTACAAAATCCAAATAAAGAGCTGAATGTTTGGCCTTTTTGTCTTAAAGGTCAGAGGCTCAGTTGTCAACAGTCACTTGAAACAGAATCCTTCCAGTGTTATTTAATATAATTTGGTCCTTTAATGCTGCCCTAATGGGGTGATGCAGTATAATTACTATTTTACTAACCTATAACGTTATGTAGAGTTGAAAGTCTGACACTGCTGGGGCTTTTCACACGACGTTGAAGGCTATAAATCAGGATCTACAGCCAACACTGAAAACACTGAGGTCATGTCCTCTGTAGTTTTACTCTGTGGACAGTTTACATGGAATAAAAAATTATCATTATTATTATTTTTAAACTGGTGGATTTATTTATATTTCGATTTTTCTTTTTTTAATTTTGAGCTTTTTAGACCAAAATAAATCAAATATGAAATATTAATAAAACTAAACAAAACTAAATATAGGGTAATAATATATAAATAAACACAATGAATAAAAACGTAGTATAAAATAAACAGCTGGTGACAGGTTTGAGCTAAATGCTAACACCAGCATCCTAGTGTGTTCACAACGACTTGCTAATTGGCAGGTGTAATTTTTACTGTGTTCACCATTTTAGTTTAGTATGTTAGAACGCTAACATTTGCTGATTACCATTAAACACAAAGTAGGCAACACCTGAGGCTGAGGGGAATTTGTTAAGAGTCAGAGGGATTCATCCTCTGGGAATCATGAATGTTGGACCAGAGGATGAACAGACAGACTGTGTAACTGATGATGCACAGCTGCTTGTGCAGCAGTCAGACTCTGCTCTGCTCCACTGTCCCTCCATGGCTGGTAGGGACTCAGTGTTGTAACAGAACCATGAGCACAGGGCACATGGTGTGACAGCCTCTCTGCTTTCTGATTGGTTAAACATTAGAAAGGCTACTGCTCCAGGATTCCCTACAGTCACGCGCTCACCCAATCAGCGTGAAGCCTCTGCGCGCGAACCCGCCTCCTCGGCACTTCTGACCAATCGCTGTGAAGCAGGGGAGTGGCCGACGGACCACCTAGCACCGCTCACCTATCGCAGGGAAGGGGTGATCGGGAGTCGGGTTTTGGGGTTGGGATAATCGATGCTCTGGTTTAACCGCAGCGGTCAGCGGAAGCGTCACTAAGAACCGAACCAGATTCTTTTAGTTTGGAGTCCGTGCACGTTCGGATCTGATCCTTGCAGACACGATGGGTCCGCTGCTGTATTTAGGAGGTCTGGTCGTCATGTTCCTGCTGTGGATCAGAGTCAAAGGTCTAGATTACGTGATCGTTCACCAGAGGTGGATATTTGTGTGTCTGTTCCTGCTGCCGCTCTCCGTCATATTTGATGTGTATTACTACGTGAGGGCCTGGCTCATATTCAAGATGTGCTCCGCGCCCAAACTGCACGACCAGCGCGTGCGAGACATCCAGCGACAGGTGAGCACACCGTCCTCTGTCAGTGTGTGTGTGTGTGTGTGTGTGTGTGTGTGCGCGCGTGTGTGTGTGTGTGTGTGTGTGTGTTCGCTCGGGTGTGTGTGTGTGTGTGTGTGTGTGCGCGCGTGTGTGTGTGTGTGTGTGTGTGTGTTCGCTCGGGTGTGTGTGTGTGTGTGTGTGTGTGCGCGCGTGTGTGTGTGTGTGTGTGTGTGTGTTCGCTCCGGTGTGTGTGTGTGTGTGTGCGTGTGTTCGCTCAGGTGTGTGTGTTCGCTCAGGTGTGTGTGTGTGTGTGTACTCTGATCTCAGTCTGATCTCCACCCTCATATACTCCTCTAAAAGAAAAGATGGATAGATACTTTATGTATCTCCTAGGGGAAATTCATGTGTCCAGTAGCTCATTGGTAATAAGAATAATAAGAATAATAAGAGTTAATAATAAATAAACAATAATAATAATAAGTAAAGTAACTTTCAAAAGACAAATAAACACCATGCAGTGGTTATGTAACAGAGTGAATGGGAGGTTACTCTTTCATATCAGTTCTATATAACTGTCATTACGTTGAATAATCACTTTCATTATGTGTTAAGATGAAAACACATAATTTGATCATGATATATTTATTATTTGTTAATGAGAGAACAGTGTTTCACTTATATTATTACAGCTCTTTGTGGTTTTCACCTGTAACTGTCTTTTCCAAGTTCTGCCAAATGGAAGAATCCACCCCATGGCGCGGGGAGGGGGGGCAGTTCACTTTAATTTTAATTTCTCATTTATCTCGAGCCATGGAGATATTTTAAGTTCCATTCACCCCCAGTACGATTGAACTGTATTTTTCCTGCATAAATAAATGTAGCCACAGGCCTGAGAGGACTTCAGCACATTATTTGGACTCTGAGGGAATAATGAAGCACAGACACAGACTCTCTCTAAAGTGAAGAATATATTTATTAGTGTTTATTCAACACACTTTGAACAGTTCAAACGAGCTGTCGAGGCTTTTGACCTCAGACCAGGAAGGTGTAGTCAGCGAGTCTGGGCGATGGCTGAGCAGTTCAGGTGAAGAGTCAGGTGTGCTGTGTATCATCTGTCCTGTATCGTGCGTCTGACACATTTCAGGTACGTGAGTGGAGGAAGGATGGGGGTAAGACCTACATGTGTACGGGTCGACCCGGCTGGCTCACTGTGTCTCTCAGAGTGGGGAAATACAAGAAAACCCACAAAAACATCATGATCAATATGATGGACATCCTGGAGGTGGACACAAACAAGCAGGTAGGAGAACGCACACAAGCTCTGCTTCCAGACGTTTTGTAAATTTGTGCAATGAAAGCTAAAGGGAACGCAGCCATCGTTAGCCAGTGTTATTTATTACACCTGTGCATTATGACATGTCCAAATGTGTATCGCAAGAACAACTCCAACAACATAATCTTCATATCTAGAGCTAAAACAATGATTCTGGTTTAATACAGCCGGGGTCGTATTTTTAGCCATGCTAGCTGCAAAGCTCGAGGGATGGCAGTGATCAAGACTGAAATATCTCAACAACAATCAGCTGGATTGGCATCAAATTTTGTGCAGACATTCATGGTCCCCAGAGGAGGAACTCCACTAACTTTGGTGATCCCCTGACTTTACATCTAGCGCCACCAACAGTTCAATTTTCACTTATCCTATGAAATTTCTCAACATCTACCAGATTAATTGGCACAAAATTTGGTCCATTTGGATATTCATGGTGAGCAGAGGATGAATCTTTAGAGCTATTTGTAAGTTTTGCTATTACTACAAAACCAGCGTTAGCATTAGCAGCTGTTTACTTACAAGTCTAGAAGAAATGTTATGTTTTTAACTTCAAACTTCATTCATTTAATCACTGTATCCAGAGGTGGAAAGCAACCCTTGGTAATATTTCTATCACTTCTACTGAAGTTAGCATGCTAAACAGCTAGCTCCAGCCAGGCCTGCCTGTCTTGTCACTTTCGGATAGTGAGTCATCGTAGCCTCCAATCTCCCATGAAGAAGTAGCTGCTCAGAGGACAAACTATAACCTCTTGTATTGTAAACGCAGCGATGGCTGAGGCTCTTGGCAAGACATGTACGTAAACAGCTGTTAATGCTAACGTTAGCTATGTAGCACTAGCAAAATAGCTCGTTAATGACTTCGGTGATGCCTTGACTTTTAATTTTTTCCTCTTCACTTATTCCAATACTTTGATTTATGAACAAATACCCGCAAAACAAATTACATTCTCGTCAACAATTAGCAACAGTGAACATGCTAACAAGCATTCGTTAACATGCTAACTTCCTAAAATAAAACAGTGAACATGGTAAACATTTACCTACTACACATCGGCATGTGATTGTGAGCTAATTACCATGCTAATGTTAGCATTTAGCTCAAACAACTGCTGTGCCTATGGCCTCGCAGAGTTGCTAGCACAGCTGGAGACTCTCTTGATGTAGTTAAAGTCCATCATTTAGTTTGCTCATGATAACGTTGTACTCACCAACGTAACTGCTGACATCTGGAATCACAGGGACACTGCAGGGACAAGAAGACAGAAGATCAGACAGGACGTAAACAAGTCAACAGCCTCAACCAATTTATTTGAAGGGACACTTTGGTCAATAATTTTACCATTGACTTTTTTGTTTCGTGGATAACCTGGGGGTTTGTTTAGCATCTATGTGAAGATCTGACTTTTTAGCGAAGTTGCCGTGTTCTGACATCACAACATTTATACTTTGTTTTTTAGGTTGTGAGAGTTGAGCCACTGGCCAACATGGGTCAGGTGACAGCTCTCCTCAATTCAATTGGCTGGACACTGCCAGTGCTGCCCGAGCTGGATGATCTCACTGTGGGTACGTGTTTCATATAACAATCAATGGGGATTGTTTCCTGGGGAATCATCCTGGAGCGGCATCGTCTGGTTTCTAGAAATAGACAGATGCGCTGATGATTTCCACAGCTCATTGTTCAGTGATGTAGATGCATTTTCTCCATCAATCACTGCATCCTGTTTAGAGCCTCAGCGACTTCTCTAATTGTGTTAGAGGATTGATGTTGTAGCTCAAAAGATGAAACTGGGAGGAAATGGCTGCAGTGTTGGAAGCACCCCTGTATTGGGTTTCATAATGGATTTCCTGATGCCATAAACTGCGCATCAACAATCTAATGTTTTCCCATCAGGCCGCGGAACATTCATTTATCCTGATGTCCACGCAGGCACAGATACGCTCCCCAGCAGGCAAACGCTGCTTTCTGCTCATGTGTTTGCGCTCTGTTGGTCTCACCTGGAAAATAAATTGAATTTCTAAGAACAGATCTTTTATTCTTTCTCCTCTCTCAGGTGGTTTGGTGATGGGTACAGGCATTGAGTCGTCCTCTCACATTTACGGGCTGTTTCAGCACATCTGTGTGGCGTATGAACTGGTCCTCGCTGACGGCAGTTTAGTTCGCTGCACTGAGGTAAGTATTGAGTGTGTGTAATGTAATGTGAGTCCACCGGCCTGAGACTTGTGGGTTACCAGCTATGTTGTGGCTTGACAGCAGGGATCACCATGGTAACATCATCTCCACCATCACAAACCTGTACTTTAACCTCTCTGCCTTGGCAGCAGGAACTTGTAACTGTAAAAAGCAGCAGGATGTGATACTGCAGAGTCTGTCAAGAGTAAATGCAATCACATTTAAAGCCGTAGCTTCAGTTTGAGCACATTACTCCTTCCTCTCTGTCGCCTCTTACTCTGCTCTTGTCAAGTGATTACACTGTATTGTATTTATTTCACCTTGCATCATTGTCTCTGCTGCAGTAACCTAATGTCCCTGTGGGTATCACCATTTCACATCATATCATATTAAGTACTCCACTCATGGTTCTGATGCTGAATGAGCTGAATGAGGAAAGCAGCTTTATGATACTGGTTGTCCAGCATCTCAGGCTCAGGTAAGGGACTGTATGAAACTTACTGAGGGAAAACTGGAAAAGAAGACATGGCTCAGACAGCACCACCGTCATATTTTAGTTTCACCCATTAGTAACACAGATTGCATCGTGCTAAATATGTATTACTACTGCAAAGCTCTTCTGGCAGAGCTCCCTTCACGCACAGTCAAACCCTCACAGATGGTCCCTGAATGCAGCAGCCCGGCTGGTCTTTGATCAGACTAAAAGGTCACACGTCACTCTGCTACCCATCAAATTCAGTCTCTGATGCCGCCTTCAGAGAGACTTCTGGGTCTGAACTCAATCATTCAGCCTTAAGCCCTTTCTCAGCCACCGTGCTCCTCCAATGAATGTGATCTGTCATTGTCATCATCATCCCTGCACACAAGACAGTCTCAGTCCAGCCTGTTCTGCTCTGTGCTTCCCTGATGGAGGAACAAGCTACTGAAGCTATCAGAGCAGGAGCGTCTCTCTCTTCAGAGAGCACCTCCTCTCCTAACACCTCTAACACACTAACATGTCTAACTGTCCTTTACTACTTCCACTGCACTTCTTCACCTGATCTCCTTCATTTATTAAACGGATGTAGAACTAAGTTTTTACACCAAGGTCTCCTACTGCTCTCAAGCTTTACTGATGTCCTTCAGGTGTAAGTCACTTTGGATAAAAGCGTCTGATAAATGAATAAATGTAAATGTGAATGTTATAAGTTATAAGCAGAATAAAGTTAAGGTGAATATTGTCCAGTGAAAACATGTCAAGCTCTTTAGAGAGATAATGTTCAGTCTCTACTAACTATAATAATCCAGAACGTGCACACTGGTCTCAGTAGCAAGTAGAAAATAAAGCCCTGTTACACAGACATGATTGATGGCAGAACTAATTTAGATGGTGCCTGAAAAAGAAGCATGTTTTGATGTAATTATCTTGATATTTGTTCGTAGGGGGGCATGACAAATTAAAGACCAACCCTGCTTTATCCAGAAAAAAAAAATCTGTTCCCGCTATTAACTTTCATACAGCCCCTAATCCAAACAGAGCCAAACTAAATTAAACTCCTGATGCAGGCCCCAGAGTTCCAGAGTGGTCTTCAGCAGCAACATCCAACTGTCACACCAAGTACAGTAAAAGGAGTGGCCTGTTTGTGAGAAGACAAAGTGATCGATGCCATGATGTGATATAATGGTTTCGTTGTGAAAGCCAACGTGTGAGACAGATTACAGCCTAACGTGGATCCCCAAAGAGCGAGACCACATTCATCAGCACAAGTGTTCTGCACATCTGTTTGTTCTTGTTCAAACAAGAAATGAATTTTCTCTGTCACACAGGAGGAAAACTCAGACCTGTTCCACGCCGTCCCGTGGTCCTGCGGCACTCTGGGATTCCTGGTTGCAGCTGAGATTAAAATAGTCCCCGCCAAGCCGTGGGTGAAGCTGCACTACGAGCCGGTCCGAGGGCTGGAGAACATCTGTAAACGCTTCACTGAAGCATCGGAGAACAAGCAGAACACATTCGTCGAGGGCATCCAGTACACTCTCGACACCGCTGTCATCATGACGGGAACCATGACTGACCACGCAGAGCCTGATAAGGTAAGGTGTGCGTGATTTGGTTTCACGTGTTTTAAATGTTGAATGGTTTAAATATCATATTTAGCTTTTCCCTCTCAGATCAACAGAATCGGCCTGCACTTTAAACCCTGGTTCTTTAAACACGTGGAGGGCTACCTGACAGGAGACCATGCGGGGGTGGAGTACGTTCCTCTGAGACAGTACTACCACAGACACACACGCAGCATCTTCTGGGAGCTTCAGGTACTTACACTGACAGAGGCTGCGTGTCCATGAGCTTTAGGATTACATTAAAAGAAGGAATATATCTGCCAGATTCTAGCTCGTCATCATCTTACCAACTGCTTGCTCACTACTCTTTATTACACTCTAATGCTCTTTCTTTCTCTCTCACACACACACACACACGTACACACACCATTAGCCATTAGTAAGAAGGGCTTGGCATCCTTTATTTTCTGTAACAGTAAATGGTGTAATGAATTATGCATAGTATTGGTTTGACGGAGACCTAAAGGAGCTCTAAGCTTTTGGGAGCTCCCTGCTTTTTGAAAGGCTTTTGTTTTTGAAGACGGTGCAGACACGAGGAGGGCCGACTGATGTTTGATTAAATTGCTCATTGACGATTTGTCGTTGACGTCTCTGATGTGTTGTTGGCCGGTGTGACGAAGTGTTTGGCACTGGTTGGTGAGTTGTGGCTGCCCTCTGGTGGATCAATGTCTCTCAACATCAAAATTATATTATCATTCATGTAACTGTTACATTAAATGTTAGTAAGTTGCAAAAAGATATGATGTTTTTACATGTTATCATTACTTATTTATTAGCTGAGCAAATAGGGACAATTATATTTGGTCTTAAAATATTCACATTGCTCATCCTTAAATGAAAAAGCAGAAAAAAAGTAGTGAGTGTTGTTGACAAAAGAGAGATTAAAAAAACGTTTGTCACATGTTTGGAAGCAAAGAAAGATCATAATTTTTATCAGTAACTAAATATATAGATAGGGTTAGGGTTAGGGTTTGGGATGTTAGATATTTAACATTGTTAAATTTCAATACAACTAAATAAATAGTATTGAAATATTTTATTTTGAAAACCACCAATCTGTATGTATGAGGTTTGAATTCCCCTATTTTGAATTTCCAGTCATCTCAGGTGGTGCAATTAAAAATAAAAAAATTAAGATTTTAAGTTGTCTCCTTTTTTTAGGTATCACATGACAAAAACAAAATATTTTATTATTTTATTAGTTATAGAAAAACAGAACAGCATCGTTGGTGATTCTGAAATCAGTAGATCTTTGGCTCTCCTGCTCGATTAATAACTTAAACAATTAATTGTTATGATTGTTCCACTAACTGATCATTTGTTTTAGGACTATTCAGACCACAGTCCATCACAGAAAGCCACTTTTAGCATCTTCTTTAACCTGTTTATGTAACTGGGTGAGTATATTTGTGTCTTTTCTCCAGGACATCATCCCATTTGGCAACAACCTGCTGTTCCGCTGGCTTTTTGGATGGATGGTTCCTCCTAAGATCTCCCTGCTGAAGCTCACACAGGGAGAGACCATCAGACGGCTTTACGAGCAGCACCACGTGGTGCAGGACATGCTGGTCCCCATGAAGCATCTGCAGGCCGCAATAACGCGCTTTCACCAGGACATTGATGTAAGACTCAGACACGGGTAAACCCACTAAATACTCACTATTTACAGCACGAGCCGACTGTTCATTCTTCAATTATCATTTGTTATTTCAGGTTTACCCTCTGTGGCTGTGTCCATTCCTGTTGCCAGCGGGCAGAGGGATGGTTCATCCCAAAGGCCAAGAGGAGGAACTGTATGTGGACATTGGGGCTTACGGAGAACCCAAAGTCAAACACTTTGAAGCTAAAGCATCAACACGTCAACTGGAGAAGTTTGTCAGAGATGTGCACGGGTAAGTCTCAAATGATACATGACATTTAGCACCTGTAGCTAACCTGAAACGACTCTTTTCTTATTTACACGCTGTTGCACGACCCATCTGCCGTCTAACTGCCATTTGCCTCCCACAGCTTCCAGATGCTGTATGCAGACGTGTACATGGACCGAGAGGAGTTTTGGGAGATGTTCGATGGACAGCTGTATCACAGACTGAGAGAGGAGCTGGGCTGTAAGGACGCCTTCCCCGAGGTGTACGACAAAATCTGTAAATCTGCTCGACACTGACCCCCATCAGTGGTACCTGACCTCGGCCCCGTGTCACAGATACACAGAGGCTCTGTCTGCAACTCACACCTGGTGACTTATACTAGTTCTGGGATGTTTAAAACAAAAAAACTGATTTACATCTCAGAATATTCTATGGAGGAATTCATCTTTGCACATATTAAAAAAAGCAATCAGTCTGTGTCTTAAGACAGCCTTCCCATTGATGTGAAACAGGAGCACAAGTATCATAACGCTTTTCTCTTTTTCTTTTTTCTGTACACAATTATTTTAACATTCATGCTCTGATCTCGTGCAGTTTGACTCAAAACCTTTTGTGTAACGTGTGCTTGTTAAGAGCCTTTTGCCCCAAATGTCTTTTTGATTTCCTTTTTTTAGAAATGTGTTAGGCAACTTTTCCCTGTTTAACTACCTAACTACTGAAGTGCCATACATAAACATGACCTCCAAATTAGCATCAGACATTTTGAAATACATGCTTTTTTTGATAAATCTCTGTGAATTTTGAGTCTGAAAAAAAGCAAACTAACAAAACAATATTGCAAATATTTTGATATTGAAATGAGAAAATATCACCTGGACTGTGTACGGGTTGGACGGCTTAATTAAAAACTGTTCTACAATAGATATCAGTTTCTTTATTTTTAAAATATACATTATAAAGTTGTTGGTTGCAGTGTTGTAATACGGGTCAGCCATCACACACACATAGTCAAAGCTAATGTATTTGCTCTGAACAGATTAATTTGGCTTTATATGAATCACAGCACAATGCAAACATAATGTCACTTTCTTTTGTTTGTCCTTGTGTATCCCTCTTTTTTTTTAAATGTGTTGGCATGCAGTCAAAGCAAACTGAGCAATTATATCAATGTATTTGAATAACTCCCCAGTGTAAACCTGACTCTTTGTGTTTGTCGCTGCCGGATTAAGAATAAGACGATCTGAATGTTGTATAAAACCAGTCATTGAATGTACTGTACTTAAGTACAGTTCTGATGTACTCATATTTTTACTTTATACTCCTACTCCACTATATTTTGGAGTAAAATAATCTGCTATTCACTCCTCTACATTTATTTGACACCTTTAGTTATTAGTTACTTTGTAGATTCACTTTATGTATTATTATGGATTAAGTGCAGTACATTAGTTAATATCACTCCACCTTAACCAGCTGCAACATGAGTCATAATTCAATGATATAATGAACCGTGTATTATTCTTAAAAGGGTCCTTGTGCTTTTACATGTGGTACTTTAGGATATATTTTGATGCCAATACTTTTGTACTTTAAGTAAAGTTTTGAATACAGGACTTTTACTTATTAACAGAGTATTTCTACACTGTGGTGTTGTTATTTAGCCTACAGTGTAAAAACATACCTGGCCTGCATGTTAGGGTGACCAGATGTCCAGGGGACAGTCCCTGTTTTTGGTGGCTTGACTGCGATTGGAGCTGCCCCCAGAAATGTCCCTGTTTTTAACGTTTGTAATAGAAAACAAACATCTTGTGTTGCACTTGTTTTGGCCAACAGATGTGGCTAGCTGCTAGCTATAGCATCTTCAGATGTGAAACTAAAACCATCAAAATAGAGTTATCCAATCAGATTTTCCTTTTTTCCTTTTTGTTGTTGTCTCTAGACAGAGAAAGGGTTAGCATGCTTACTCATTGGTTAGGAGTTCATAACATGCAGTAAACTAACAAACACAAATATACTTTAAACAAACTGCACGACTGCTTCAAAGGTAGAGAGTCATCATTTTATCAGCTGGCTTAACTTGACTTGACCTCCACAATAGTTTATCACAGTACAACAGCTATCATGGTCAAAATACATGACTGTCATCCTTTTTATTTCATAGGTAAAAACATTGGATATTTTAATGATATACTGACCGCCGAACTGGAAATGTCCCCGGTTTTCATTTCAGATATCTGGTCACCTTTACTGCACGTTGAACTCTCAGCCTGCACACCACTACACCGCATCTCCCCCCCACCAACACTCCCAGAGCTGTCACGCTACCTTATTGACACAGTTACATAAAAGCAGAGTGTGTTTCACCAGAGGCCTGAGGGGAGGGTTCACCTGAGAGACGTCAGGGAGTGGGGGAACCAGTGGTGTCTGCTGCTAAAAGCTGTAGGGGAAAACTTTTTCCAGCGCACATACTGACACTTGCTGTTCCGCCTTCTCCTCCTCTCTCTCGCTCTCTGACTGAGCTAGCAGAGCAGCCACTGACAGCAGGTGAGGAAGTTCCGTGGTCTGCAACAAACCTGCCCGGAGCTTTAGGCAACACAGGTAGGTCTGTACCCGGAGCTCTCACTGGTAAAGTTACAGTATTTGCTCTGTGCTCTCGTTGTAGATGATCAGGAAGACGGCTGCTAACTTAAAGGAGAGTGAGGTGTAAGTGAGCAATACTTTTCTAAGTGAAGCTAACTTTACGCGAAGTTAACTTTAGCTAGCTGCACGAACACGGCGATACGTTACAACAAGCTAACAGCCGGTGTTAGTTTACAAAAGGTGACTTTGAAGATTTGTTGACGCCCCGTCGGTGAGTCGTTAGCTGCTGTCAGTGTTTGTTAGCAGTGGAATCAGCGAATTAGCCCGCACACTTTTGAGTTTTAGCTAGTCTAAGTTAGCTGAAATTAGCCGTTTCTTTTTTGACGTCTACTCACTGGGGTAACGTCCAAACAGCCATCCAGTTTCCTTGACAACAGTGCGGAAGTTTCTGCGAACGCTGTGTCCTGCACAGATTATAACGTTGACTCAGAAACACCAGCCGTCCGGTTGTTTTATTCATTTAGGAAGCTGATTCATTAGGAAAAAGCTGTTTCTCAGGAACAGAAGGTGTATTGTTGTTATTTAAAGGTGTGGATGACTTTCTTATCAGAGACCTGCACGCTATCAGCTTTTACTAGTTAGCTTATAGATGTAGATAGAGACTTTATTCATCACCTAGGGGAAATTCAGATGTCCAGCAACTCATCAGTAATAACAATAATAATAATAACAAGTTATTAATAAATAATAAACAATAGTAGTTTAATTAGTCTAGCTCATGAGTCACTTCCTTTGGCTGAGGTGTTATACAGTCTGAATATATAATATGTTATAATATGTTGCATATTGTCAAGTCCGTATTTATGCATCGATTCTGTTTACAGAGACTCTAAAGTGAAGAAGCATCAGGTGCCCTCCAGACAAAAAGGCAAAGACCCGGGGGGTGAAAGCCAAAGAAGCGTTACTGGCCTTACCTGCTGCAAAGAAAACATGTCCACTGACGAGGAGCCCACGTTCACAGTGAAGCTGCTGCAGCTGCTGCTTCTCTCCACCTACTGGGGAATGCAAATTTGGGTCACCTTCATTTCAAGTTGGTGCCACACACACACACACACACACACACACACACTCGTACATGTATACAGAAAAGTTGGAAACACAAGTGAGGGTAGAGGTAGAGAGAGAGAGAGATGGTAACTCATTTAAGATACAGAATGCATGTAGGACATTTGTTTTTATGCTGTTTGCACAACGCAGTCGTGACTGAAGTGGTCCTAGTTTGGTTCCCAGCCGCCACCCAATGTGGCTCAAGTGTTTGGATCACAGTACATGTATTTATATTTCTGATTGGCTCACACAGAATGTGAATAGGACCTCAGTGAAGCACCTCTGTATCATCTCTACTTTTTTCATGGCCACCTTTATGCCTACATCCAGACCTTGGTTTGCTTTTCTTGCAGTTCAGTGACAACGCTTACATGGGAAACCAAGGTGTGTCTGTATGTTGTTTATAGAGCCGTGCCATTTACACTCTCGTTAACATGCTTTGCAGCAGTTATAGAATTAATTGTAAACTACTCCTTAGCCTCCAGCACATAGCAACATCTGAGCTTCCTGCCACTATTCAACCACAAACCTCGTATTTCTGTCATGTTGGTACTGTGGTATACCACTGTGACCCTGTGCAACCTTAGAGGCGAGAAGCAAGGTCAGAAAACTGCTTCTTAATCTTGTTCTTTTTAGAATATTATTGTCCATGTAACTGTCAGACCTTAATGAATTAGTGTCTCTATGAAAATAAGGTTGTGCTAATCAGTTGTCCTGATTTCTGCACAGGCTTTGTGATGGACAACCACCTGAACAGACACACATATGGGTTTATTCAGAGTCGTCTCGTCCCGTTCTACCTCCACCTGGGTTCAGCTTGTGCCTTCTTCAACCTCACCATCTACGCCGTGTATCACCCCAGCGACATGCTGGATGACCGGGAAGCTTTTCAGGTGTGTCGTTTGTTCCACATCATTGCACTGCACAAAACCTGTTACAGAGTATTATCTTAATCTCTTGTCTCTGCTTCCCTCACCAGATCTTCATCTTCTTTGTGTCGGTGACGGTCGCGGCCGTCAACGCGCAGTGGTTTGGCCAAATGACGTCGGAGATCATGGCAGACATGCACCTCATCGAACAGGCGTGCGGATTGGGTCAGGACATCGGCCTGTCGTCTAACCGTGAGGCTTACGCCAAGCTGTGTGAGACGGATGTAAAATACAGGCACCTCAGTAGTCGCCTGTGGTTGTACAGACTGCTGTCGTCCCTCTGTAACCTCTGCTGCATCGGCTGCAATTTCTACAGTCTCTGTTACATGGCTGAAAACCTTGTCACGCTGTAAAACTGACACTCAGCAGCTGGACTGTAAAATTGTTGAAACATAGTCAGTCCTTTACAAATCTAGAAACTTTTGATATCAAAGCAGTAAATTATATATTTAATACATAAAGTCTTTCTTTCTATCTCTGCCTTAATTAGAAATGAGATTAAAAGGTCGGATGATGCTCTCATTGGGGAACAATGATAGGATATAGTCTCATGCATAGATTTCAGCCTCTGGTTCACGGTCAGTGAAGCTGAATTTCTCTGAACTGCTGCAGGGAGACGAATCAGTTCCTGCAATCTGAGTAATGCTTCACCTTTCACCCAGTGTGGCTGAGGCTGGCGGCTGCCTCAGGTTGGTGCCTTGAGATTTCCCCACACTGTTACCTTTACTTTTACATTATGGTACCTTACAGTAAAATAAAACATGAGGAATGTTTTTAAATCTTTGCACTTGCAATAGAAAATGGCTCAATGCACTGCACTGTTTTTATGTGTAGGCAACAGGAGGAAACCTTTAGTAAGGAAAGTGTTTCCTTGCTGTTCTGCCCTGCTCTCTCTGTTTGGGTGGAGCTTTAATACCTTGTTGACAGTGCGGTGTCACAGGTTTGTCTGGCTTTACTTATGTTACTGTAAGGGCACCTGTGAGGCTGTGCTTCACCTCCCATCAGAGGGAAAGGTTGTGCTATCTTTCTCTCTCCTGGCTGCTGCTGGTGTGATACACGATCTGATTTAGTCTAAAACACACCTGCACCACTGATTCTGTTGTATTGGAAACAGATTTTATTGGTATTTGTTTTGCGTTGTTGCACAGCAGCTCAGTGTAGTTATGAGAGTCCTCCAGCAGGTAGACCTTTGCTCTAGTCCCACTATTATCAGTGTGCTCTGGATGGAGACACTTGCTATTCTGGGGATGGGAAATACCCATTTAACGGAACATATTAAAGTGGATTGTATTGGAGTAGCACAGAAGTTTTTTTGGGATGGTACAAATGGTCTGTGTTGACTAAATGCCTGTAATAATAGTAATAATAGTAATAATAATAATAATAATAATAATAATACAGAGCCCCCAGTAAAGATTTTATTTCTTTGGAACTACTTTTTTGCATCATCTCACAGTAACTTTTACATTATGTCGCGACACTTCCTGTACTGCATTTATTGTGAAAGGCTGAGCTCCAACGGTACATGGACAGGCAGCATGGCTGTGTGTGCACTGTGACTATTCTTCACATCTCCTCATGTATTAACATTAGCCTCATGAAGCACCTGTCACCCCTGCTTTACCATCAGATAGGACATTTGAGATGCCAATACACACACACACACACACACACACAGGAGTGCATGGGTGGCTTCATAGTAACCATAACAACCAATGCTACAGCAAAAGCCACAGCTGTAAACATCCCATACAGTCATAAGCATAGCCACAGCAGCAGGCATTCATAATACAGAGTAGAGATAGTTAACTAGTTAACCTAGTTATGTTTATATTAACTGCAGTAAACAGACTTGCAGCTGAGCCAGGCTGTAACATTCATAAATTAATATCATCATACATCAATGATATATGTAACTGTCAGAGCTCAGCCTTCCTCTGTGGATAAGAGGGAATGCAACACACAGATAATCAACTGTGACCTTTGAATCTGACTTGAATGTCACCTCCGCACTCCTTCCCTTCACTTAACATCCCAGGACGATCTCCGTACATGTTGCTACCTTTCATTGTGCCACGCAGGAAAAACCACATCAGATCTTGTGTATATTGGTGTAGGATTTTAAACAGTGATCAGGTCTGGAGCTTGAACTCCTCAAGTGTTTTGTGCTTTATTTTATAAAACCTCCATTTGCTCCACATCAGTCTCAATGTGTTGGAACATTATCATCTGGCTGTAGGAAAAAAAAGCAGCCATTAGGAGAATTGAAGCAAAATTATTTTTGAGTTGTGAGCTTTTTTTTTTTTTGGTCATAGTATGTTTTTCTTGAATCTGTGGTTCGTTATTTTTCTGTTGTCTTTTTGCACATTAATCATGTTAATTAACCACTCCGTGCTACGACTGTGCCTCCTGTCTGTAATACCTGTACATTAAACCAAAGACAAAACACCAACAGAGCGATGGCAGCAGAGGACAGATTCTGAAACTCCTCTTTCTAATAGTTTGTTCTAACTGGACTGATGAAGGTGTTTATTATAAGCCTGATACCGGCAGAAACAATGCAATATTACTTGGCTGTTATAAATTCTACACAGTTTTTCTATGACGTTGCCGTGAAGCTTGGCCAGTTTAAAGTTCTGTAAAAACTGAATGCAAGTTTTTTGACAGTTTTGTGTATCAACATGAAATCTGTATCTGGATATGAATTTTTCTCGAGGACCTCTTACCCACATTGATTTGTTCCTTCATGATATGTTTGATATTACAGGTTATCATCATATTAGCTGAAGAACAATGAGGTCAGAGGTCATGAGCTGTTAATGGTAGTGGGTTTGTATCAAAGATGTTTTGACATGTGTGGTCTATTTTTTTTGTATAAAAACATGTTTCATCATTCTCTACCTGATCTTCAGCCTGTTTTATTCCTTTTTGAGAGACTATATCTTTACTGTGCAACCTATTTCCTGTTGTTCTGGCTCTGTGCTTCATGCAGTGGAGGAAACAAGGAAACAACTGAGACTGATTGACTTTTAGCTTTAAAGCTATAAGTTTTGGATGAACTGTGGGGGTATGTAGCTCTATACTGTAATCAGTGTTTATATCTGGTGTGATTTGTAAAGTGGACAAAAAAATCACTTGTGTAAGATTTGAAAATGTTTGATTTTGATGACTCCTAGTGGTGGAAATAGAAAAGACTAATGAGCTGAAAAGCATCCAGTTTTCACAGGGGACAGTCTCCGAATACTTTGAGAACTGCTAAAATCATTTTTGTTTGTTTTAAAACAAATCTGGCAGAAGATCGGTGGAAGTCTGAATGGAGCCTCGGTTCAGAAGCCAGACTGACTCAAATGTAATTCAATCCTGTGGTTCCTGTGGGACGCCACGTTCTGCCAAATATGACAAGAGGGAATCATCGACCTACTGTAGTTTAGGATCAGCTGCAAACACAGAGTGAACATCATGAAACTACTCCATCTTAACACCTGACCAACAAACCCCAAGGAATCCATCATGTCAGAGTTATTTTTAATGTAAAAATACATGATCAGGTTTCAGCTACAAATCCATGGTTACTGTTCGATATGAGATCAGCATCAACAATTTACAACCCACTCCACCTACAAAATGAATATTAGTCTAAAAAAGTAATAAATATAAAATGATGTAGATAAAAATGTAAAAAAAAAAAAAAAAAAAACATGTACCTGACTATTAAAGTTTAGACAACCAAGTTTCTCTTGTAATACTTAAAAAACCTGAAATGTACGTTTCAGGAAGGTTCAATAATCTCATTCAACACATGAATGTAACAGGAGGTGAAGCAACTCAGTTTCACCCTTTTGCAGGACCGACCTCAGTTAAAAGTGCGATTACATTGTGTGAAAAAAAGTACTGGGTCCCCTTGTTTGTTAATTCTGCATAGAGAGAACCAGCTGCAGCCTTGGAGTATCCACAACAAACGTTCTGTAATACTGAGGGAGTAAATGTAAACTGTCAACTTTAAATTTTCTCCGAAAAGGAGGCAGCAACATTATTTAAAGCCACAATCCTCGATGGGGATCGACAGCCCACTGCCCATTCACTTTGGTTGTTTAAAGGATGAGGTTAGATCACTGTCATTACCGTCCGTCTGTAACAAGCTTATAACAGTGTATGCGCAAAAATGTAAAGAAATGTACTGAAGAGTGAAACAGATAATGACAGTGTCAGTGCATCTCACTGTGCTTAGAAGGCATCTAAAGTTACATTCCTTGTAAACAGCAAAACAGAAAAGGCATTAAAAAGTAAGGATTGTGCCTTTAAAATAATCATGTAGTATTCCCATGATTCGTCAGTACACACCCACGCTTCAAACGATTGATCATATCTCTCTTACACTCCTGTCCAGGAAACGTGACGTCATCCCAACATTTAAACGCTCACTTTGTGTAAATGTCAGGAAATGTTCTAATATAAATAACACGGCTTCCATGTTTCCCTTCTCAATACTCACAAGTACAGTATCAAAATACAAATATTTAAAAAGAAAACACCATCTAAAAGTCAACCCACAATCCCTCTGGAGGGTTTCGTAACCATGGCAGCAACAGGAGAGTCATGGTGCAGGCATGGCTTTCGCCTTGACACCATCCCCAACAATTCCTCACCTTTGCTACTAAAATACTCCATAAATAAAAGTCGTACTAAAAATAGAGTTTTCCTTTTCATCAGCATAAAAATACTTAAATCCAGTGTCTGTCATACAACCACCTTGCCCTTGATGTCCAGCTTGTTGTTGTCACTTGTTTTGCTGGTCTGCTCCTCTGTGAAAGTGATGTAGGAGTAGATCAAGCTGCCCGCAATACTGCAACAACACAGAGAGCAGCCGTGTCACAGTCACAAACCAGACGACAAGCAAAACACAATGTAAATGAATGGCAGTATTTAAGCTAAAAAACTGATGAGATGTTTTTCTTTGTAGAACACTGAACAATATGAGACTGGGGCCATTTTACAGAAACCTCCTAAATTACAGATCCTATCTTAATTGATTGGTAACCGTGGTAATTGGGGTTAGCACCTGATTTAGGAAAAAAGCCTTTATAGATGAGTAGTTTCTAAATCATTGTTTATGCTAATTTCAAATAGGAAAAGTGTTTTACACAAACTTTACGGGGAACTGTTTGACTTTCACTTTCCACCACATAGCTAACTTGTGTCATACATATCGCTGCTCTTTTATTGCTGTTACACAACCAGTGAAATGTCAACAGGCTGAACTTATTGAGACTTGTCTGATGACACACACTAACGATGTGTTTCAGTTTGATGACAAAACACATGTTAGTAGGTACAGACCATGATGCTGCAGTTAGCCGAGCAGCTAGGACCAGCTGTGGAGAGGCCGACCTGGCAACATGAGGCTCAGATGTGCTTTGTTTTTGTTCTTTTTCATTATTTGTTTCAATAAGAAATGTAGCTTCAGTTGAAGCTCAAAATCCCATTTTCTACTCTCCCTCTCTTAAGACTTGAGATAGGAAGTCTCTGTGAAACGACGCCTGGTGTTAAGATTAACGTTAGGGAGAAAACCTTCATGACTGTTGAAGGCAAAATGAGAAATTGAAAAAGATGTTGTTATTTGTCACATCAGTGTTGAGGTGAACGTGTTGCAGCAAATCACCGATCGTGAAATTTCCCAGCAAGTTTCAGCATGTAAATATGAATTCCTGCAGCTGTGTGACACATTAATGTCAGCTCTACACTATCTGTGTCGGCATGGACCTTTTCCTTTTCCAACTAATTTTATCAGAGTGAGGCTGATCCAGAGGTCATTAGTTTCACAGGGATCAGGTCATAAACCAAAGTATTGGACATATTAAATCATTGTCACAAAAGTCAGTGGATGAACAGTCATTCAGATAAATCCCCTGGGAACCTTGAATGTCTGTACAAACGTACCCTTCACAGAGGGAAACAACACTGTATTTACACTTCCCCTTTATGTTTTTATTTAACTGACTCAATCTGTTGTGTGAGTATTCAAGTCTACATGGTGTAAAGCCTGATGAATGAGGAGGAAGTTTCTGCTTCGGCCCCAGAAACAACTATTTAAAAAGAATCTATGAAGACAACTGTCACATTTGAGTACATGTTCCAAAATAAACTATTCTTTCCTACCTGATATTCAAACCTATGAAGTTGGTCCAAGAGAAAATGTAGTCTCCACTGAACACCATCCCGATGTATGTGACCAGGACGTTCTGCAAGACGGAGGGAATATGAATTAGGTTTGTGTGTTTTAGTGTTTGACTGTTTCTTCACACAGCTGTGCAGCTCACCTTGATGCAGCCCACGATGGTGGTTGTTAAAGCAGAGTTGTACTGTGTGCAGAGCACTGTGGAATACATCAGAACAAACCTGCAACACAATATGCCATATTACTCACAGCTCAAAACTTGAGCGAGCATGAAATCAGATTTCACAATGTTAATGCAACAAAATAAACACAGTTGAGATTTCAGCCATTGATGGAATAGAAAGTTGTTGTAATCCAGATGTTCAATTCTGGCACAAAACACAATCCTGTTTACTTGCACGCAAGCATGCACGTCACACATAAACTTCAGCTTCCGTCTTACCCCATGATACATGAGAGGATGAACTGGCTGAGGAAAATCATATCAGACCATCCGTCATATTCCACCGCCTGACGAGAGAGGAACATCATGAGAAACAGAAAGAAGTACCAGTGAAAACAGACACATGCATATGAAAAGCAAAGAGAAAAACAGGATTAAAACTAGATAGATTGTGAATTCAAGTCGAGTCTGATGTGGCATTCAGTGGAAGAAAGAAAATTAAGATTGACTGAGCGTGGAGGAGGAGTTCAACACATTTTAGGGAGTTGTTGCAACTAACACTTTACAGTAGGGTCCAAAAGTCTGAGACCACGAAGGAGAAAGTGTCCTCAGACTTTTGTAGCCCATGTACATACTAATACAAATTCAGCACTGAGCTTTAAAAGGTAGTAGTCTGTATCTGTGCTGTGGTTAGTCAGTGGAGGGGAGTTGTAGGCGCTGCTGTAATAACTCTACTAGGTGCATAATAGCAGCTTTGTGCCTCTCTGGCTGCTGGGCCCCAGCTGGGCAAACCAGAAGGTCTCTGCCAACACTGACCAACAAACAGACTGCTCATATTTACAGCATACGCCCAAGCCTTCACATATGTGCAGTCACTTCAATTTAGCATTAAACCCTGTAATAACTGATCACTACCAAGGCCATGAGCTCACTACAATGACTTCATTTTATAGTTTAGCCACAGTCCAATCAATCATTGTCAGAAGGTGACACCTATAAAATCTTATTTTTTTAATGAGGATAAGTAGAAATAGATCTTATAGACAGGACAGAACAAACAGAGGAAGAGTCAAACAGCTTACCTTCTGCATATCTCCAGTCACATGAGCCAACAGCAGCGTGGGAATTATCATAAATAATGCATTATAATACAATAATCCATACTTCCCCAACTCCTGTGAGAGAGAACACAGGAATAGATGGGCAGGGAGCAACAGGAACATGAAAAATAAGCAGAGCCAGAACAGAGAGGGTTATTCACAAGTCTTTCAGTGCATTCCTCACTAACTAGCACACAGATGTCATGCATGGCCGGCACACTGCACAACCTAGAACCTCTTGTTAGCATCCGTCTGATTCTGTTTCACGTGTCTTCATCTTTCACTATCTCGCAATATCAGTCACACACCTCTCTGTTTAGCTCGGTGCTAGCAGATGGTGCTCCACAGACATCACAGACTAAATCTGGATCCAGTTCTGCCTCTGATGTAATGTGAGAGCTGAGCAGTCTACTCATGTGACATCAAAACCAACTAAAGCAAGCTACGGGCCATTTCTAACTGGACAGTCAGGCAGTTATTAACCAGACTGCTAAAAAAATTATGCAAGAAGGTGTTTAAAAATAATATAGCACAGCAGCACAACTGCTTAAACAGTGATAATTAAATCCACTTAGTGGGGAGTGAAAAGAACTGACTCGACACATGTTCCTTTGAGCCGGACTCTGAAGGACAGTTTGGGTTCTCTAAATTCACCAACATCAGCTCAAGGCCAAAAACAGCTCCTACCCAACAATGGCAACTATTCATCAGGTGGTTCAGCCCCATACCTTCGCATCTAATTTTTGTTTCACATAGGCTCCGTTGGCTGCAGTCAGCACATCGTTCAGGAGGATGAACACGTAGCCTTGCAGGTCAAAGGACAAGTCAGCACTACGAACAGAGACAAGATAGAAAGTGTTCAGTTAGCTGCAGGCATGCTCTGTTCAACTACAGATATACAACATGTGTCTAATGACCCTGAAGACCATATCACTTGAGTGGGCACATATATCAGGACGAGACCACCCTTTGTAGTAAGGGTAATTCTGCTTTGGTTAACAGCGGGGACACCTGGATGGAGCAGAACTTACCTTGCGGCTATGAACGCCCCGAGGATCATTGTAAATACTGTCAGTTGGACTGGCCTGGAGAATTTCTTCCTGCCAAAGGTCAAAGAATAGCAGAGCAATGAAATTCAATCTGAGTACTTTGAGCTGCAAATAAAAGCCACCAATACAGTACAAAGAGAAAGGCTTGGTTTTCTTCTACTGAAGCCATTCCCCGCTACATTCAAGGACCAGTAAATCACCAAAAAAAGTGGGTTATCTGTCATGTGCGATCTTACTTGAGCAGAAGTCCCTCAGCCAGCATTGTGAATAAAATGGAGAACCTCCTGAGGACAGTGAACATTGGCAGGCTGGTGGAAGAGAACATAAATTGTGATGGGAAATAGTCTTTTACTTGGCAAAACATCAACAGCCATGCCCAATGAGCTCATGATGACACTGGATGAACTTTCATCATCATTCAGCCGGGGCAATGTGGACTTACTTAAGCCTTTTGGTTCCAAACAGACCAGTGATTTGATTTCCCACATAAAGAAGAGGTAGAGGAAACGTCTAGAAAAAAAACATATTTAGGCATTGAGAGCAGAAAGGACTGACCAGACTAGTAGATTAAACCACGCACATAAAACTGAACCAGGAAAACATGTCAACGTCAATTCCCTTTGCTCCAGTGTCTCAGGTGTTTAAATTTTCTGATTTATGCTTGTCTTAAATGTAGTGTGACCAGACGTTCCTGATTTCTAGGGACAGTCCCTGTTTTTTGTGGCCTCTCCCTGGTTGGAGTTGTCCCCGGAAATGTCACTGTTTTCAACTTTTGTAATTAAAAACAGAAGTCTAACGTTGCGCTTGTTTCAGCCAACAAGGGGGGGCTGGCTGCTAGCTATAGCAGCTTCAGAAGCGAAGCTAAAACCATCAAAATAGAGTTATCCAATCAGATGTTTCTAATTCTTTTTTGTTGTTGTTGTCTCTAGGGTAGAGAAAAGGTTAGCTGCTCACCCATTGGTTAGGGGTTTATAACCAGGCAGTAAACAAAAACAAACATACTTCAAACAAACTTCAAACTACTTCAGAGGTAGGGAGTCCTCATTTTATCAGTCGCCCTACACAATAGTTTATTACAGTGCAACAGTTACCATGGTCACAATACATGACTGTCCCCCTTTTTATTTCATAGGTAAAAACATTGGATATTTTAATGATATATTGACCGCTGAACTGGAAATGTCCCCGGTTTTCATTTCAGAGATCTGGCCACCTTACTTAAATGACAGTAAACTGAACATATTTGAGTTTGTAAAACAAGACGGTTGATGGCCATTTTCATTCAAAAACAAGGGGTCTCACCTTGCGAGGTATAGTCTCATCAAAGTCCGGGAAGCTGATCACCCTCGCAGCCTTGCCCACCCACAGCACAAGCACAGTGGCCAACATCTGCACACACACACACACACGCGCGCGCATTCAATTGAACACTAGTCTTAGCTCAGGATAGTGTTTGGTAACGTAAAAATAAGGCAAAATCCTTCAACTTACTTGTCCAATTCCGACACATATTGAAGAAGGGAACCTGAAACAGCAGAGTTGACCCCCGTTAGTCCCAGTGAACTCTACAGGCTGAGCTCAGTCACCTCGTATTTAATATTTAAAATATAACAGTCTTGCTAAATGCTAACGTGAGTGAAGCTCTCCTGTCTCCAGTCACTAGCTGCCCTCGCTAGCCAAAAGTTGCCGTTAGCTAATAAGCTCCGCCGCGTTCGCCTCCGCGACCCGGCCAACACAACTTCCAGTAGCTAGGTTAGCTAACACGGTAGGTTTTTTCTACTACAACCGTCAGAGCCGTTAGCGAAAACCGTTACCTGTAGTTAGTGAGGACGCTTTTATTCACCACGACGATGAGAAACGAGCTCAGACCGTAAAACCCCGCGGCGAACAGCTTCACGAACACCGTCAGAGGTTTGTCCGCCATCCCCGACAAGTTCTCATTCCTCTCTGAGCGTCGGTGTCGGCTCTACCCCTGCCATCGCTGCTCCGCTTGTCTCTCTCTCTCTCTCTCTCTCTCTCTCTCTCTCTCTCTCTCTCTCTCTCTCTCACACTCACACACACACACACACACACACACACACACACACACACACACACACACACACACCACAACTTCCGCCGCCTCAAGTCTGAACCTCACAGGGCACATACAACATTTTTCGGTTAATTTTCCGCCTCTGTAATTAACACCAGGACACTGCGGTTTACCGGATTATCTAACCCGAGTCACACATGGAGCTGAAAACAACACACTCTGCTTATTTATTACATTTGGGAAACACATTTAAAGCAGGAGCTGGGCGGAGATGTTTATCTTCTCCGCAGCTGTAGTTTTAGTCCCACATTTTCACCCGTGTTGGATTGACAACTGCAGCACTTCCTGGTGTTTAACCAATCACAAGTTAACAGGTCCATTGATTATTGGACCTAAACTCAATTTGGATTACAAAAAACTAAAAACCCACAATTATTATCATATTTACATTGTGTGCATTATTTGTCATATTGAAAAATAAGGTTGGAGTTGCAGCAGTTGTATAAAAGTGTTCAACCACAAGATGGTGGCAAATAGTTGTTTAAGGATTGGACCATAATCAGTAAGTTTTTTATATTCACAGTATCATCAGGTCTCTAGTTTGAAGATGACGCTTCATTTGCCTCAGTGTTGGAAATAAGTCACAAAAATCGGGCTTTAGTGATTGTTTTCTCATTTTAATTACTCATTCATAACATATTCAAGTTTTGTTCCTATTAGAAATTGGAACAGTTTCATTTATTGACACATGTCCAGCCCATACAAATATGTACTGTATGTTTATTGTAGACATATGTTACGTAGATATATGTCCATCCCAAAGTCTGTCAGTATATGTTGATATTTTATACAGAAGGGACCAAAAGTCTGTGACCACTTTCCCAGAATGTTAAGATGTTTAAAATTAATGAGGAATTAATAAGAAAATTATGGTTGCAACATGTTATACAATTTAAAGATAAATGCATTTTATAGATATTTTGAATATATGTACATATACAAACTTTGCTATGTTTATTTCATATATATATAACTTATATCTTCATATATCCAGAGGATGTAGTGGACATATATACATAAGGAAATATCTCGTTTATTACTTTTCTGCAGGAGTAGTGTATTTGCATGAATACAGCAACCACACAAAAAGCCTTCAACATACTGTTACTCCATTAAGTATTTAGTGTCCTTCACTTTTTTGCACACTTTATTTTGCTGCGGATTTTATTTTAAATGACAATGCTGGTGCCATTTTGGCCAATCAATCTACTCTCAATAATCAATAATGATAGAGTAGGAGAAGGAGAACCTCTTCTGGCAGCAGGTAACTCTGGGCACAGCTCCACACCTGGATTTAACAGTTTATCCCAGTCTTCCCGTCAATTACCACTGAAAAGCAATATACTGTAATTTATTATTTTAAATAACTTGAATTATTGTTACATGCTCCTCGTGACTTTACCTGTGTTTTCACGCTATAAGAGATTTCACATGGGATCTGTTATTTAAGATTAGAGCCACATGTGTACTGCTGCTGATTCAGCTGCACACACTGTTGAAGTGCGATCTGCAGCATGTTTTTATCATTAACTGAACCACCATCCCCCACATTTATGAATCCAATGGGGATATGTGGCATTTGCATTGTCATTTTTCCTCTGCTATTTTGTAATGGGGGAAAAAATAAAACATTTGCGGAAGAAATTATCCTCTAGAGAGAGGGAGGAGGCATTTAAGCTTCAAAGCTTTGATCTAATTATAAAATATCAGTGAATGAGGGCCAGCTTCCTGACCTGACCTTGCAACGACACATGTGTATTTTGGCAGGTGGTTGTGGGATAACAACCTGACGTGTCCATGATAAGAAATGTGTCCCTGCATGTGCCACGTTGTCTAACAGTTGTTGAATCAAACCCACATTTGTTTCCTTTTTGAGGAGCAACAGCAGGGGACATCTGATCTGAGCCATGTCTGGACTGAACGCATCCCTAGGATACTTTGTGGCTGTTGTGATTTTTGCAGCCTCAGTTCGAACGCTCGTTAGAAAATGGCCTCGTTTTACCTTCATCTTGGAGTTTGCCTCATCCTTCATGCTGGTGGCATGCTGGCTGGAGGTGCAGACCATTGTAGAGGTGGGAGAGTGGGCTGGGGGCTTGGGTCCTGATGTGACTGTGACCATGCTGTTTGTGTTGCTGCTGACCCACGGTGTGATCTGTGGTGGCACGTCAGGGAATCCCACCCTGGCTGTGCAGGGATTCCTGCAGCTGGAGGCCACCACCCTGCTCACTCTGCTCGCTGTTGTAGCCCAGTTTCTCGGGGCCCATCTGGCCCTCCTTGTGGCTGTATACTACTGGGGCCTGGAGCTGACAGACATGCACATGATCAAAAACCTGATGGCTAGAGAGTGCAGCACATCTCTGCTGGTCTCTTTGCTTCAGGGTTTTTTCACAGAGTGTGTTTGTGCGCTCATCTTTCACCTGGTCCATCTAAACCTGCGACGCAGGTCTGCTTTGATCAGGGTTCCTCTGATCGCTGTCCTCCTCACATTCCTGTCCCATACAGGTAAGTCTGAGCTCAACCTGATCCCACCTTTCTCATCCCTGCATAAAAAAGCTTCTAAATTCTTACAACAAAACTTTATATTTGTAAATATGAAGAAATGAGAGCAAGAAAAAGAACAGGAACGAAATGAAATTTTAGAACATTTGAAAACTAAATATCAAGAAAACATGGGATCCCACTGGAAAATCAGTGTAACACACACTCTTCTCTCTGTCATGGCTCAGTGCATCAGAGATCAGTCTGTGCACCCACAGAGAATTCAAACAGTTTTAGTTATTTAGCCTGAATCAGCTGCAACCTTTCCTTCCACTGTTCACATTCTTATTAACCAATCATGTCTGGATCAGGGTTGTGCCCCAATTTATGCTTTTCCTTCAGTACACTTGTTTGTATCAACATTAAATTAGTTCCTTGACCTCCATCTTAATGTAAGTCATGCATATCATCATCTGCTTCCTCCCAGACCCCATGAAGAAGCCCATGTTTTCATGTGACCATACTCTTTTCTTGTCATGCAAAGATTTTCTCTCAGTTCAGTTTTTCTGTTTTTATTGCAGATGTTTCAAAGACAACACAATGTCATTTCAGAGATTTTTGTGTCTGCTTCCCCAGTTTGATCACTAAAACATAGAGCAACAGACATAAATCTTATTTTTCCTGTTCCATTTTCCAGCCAGAGGCTACACCTCAGCGTACATGAATCCATCTCTGGCCTACGGCCTCACCTTCCACTGTCCTGGATTCACCTTCACAGAGTATGCAGTGGTCTACTGGCTGGGTTCTCTCACGGGTAAGTTATTAAATAAATCAAATATACATGCATTAGCTGACAGCTCCTTGAGAGTGAACACACTGTTCACAGCGACTGTCTGTTTTCCAGGAATGACTCTGGCTCTTCTCTTGTACATGGGACACATCCCGAGGATTTTCGCCAAGAACCTGCTTTATTTCCAGAAGACACGATTCAGAGTGCCAAAAGCAGACAAAGCAGAGAAGAAGAAGCAGTGAGAGAAACTACTAGAATCTTCCCTTTTAGCTAAGTACTTGACAACAAACGGCAAAGAGACGTTTACGTCAACTTAATAAGTCTGTGTAGACAACCTAAAACATTCGACCAAAGTAATCCTAACTGAAATGAATGTACCTTTTCCATCCTTGTCTGCTGTTTTAAATGATCAATAAAGTTTTTCATTTGTAACAAAACCACTTTCAGCAGCACTTCTTTGCTACATGAGGGTCATCTGGTGGCATCACTAAGAATGACACTTGATGTACAGCAATACAAGCTACACACGATTATTGAAAATGTTCAGAGGCCAAGAATGTACTAAATGAACCAAATGAAAAGAATTAAATACAGATGTGAAGAAATGGCATTTAGTTAATATCATACTACTTCCTCTGATTCTGCATATATGTGACACAACACAGCAGCACATATTACATACAAAAAATAAAATAAACTAAAGAGAAACATAAGTCAAAGATCTTCCACAGTCAGAAGACAGGGACTGCTGCTACGTGCTGGCAGTGCTCTGTGTGGCGCCGGGTTTACAGGATCGTGACCCACAAGGTTCTGGAACTTTTTCCTTGGTCTGTTTTGGCTGGTTTTTAGCAGAGCGGCCTGGATCTGTAGACAACAAGGAAGAAATCATAATGTTCAGTACAAAGCGTTTGCCAAGAGGCAACCTCCCGGGCTGAAACATGAAGCAAACAGTCGTGCTGAAACCTGCAGTTCCTCTAGAGACCACTAGAGTCTGGCTCCAACAGTGAGTCGGTCCCCATAGACTCCCATGTTAAAATGTCCAGCAGAAATAAACATGTTTACAGCCTGGTACAAAAATGGTTTTGGTCTCTAGAGCTGATTTCCTCCTTCATGACACCTGTTTATAAAACTCACCTGTTTACATTTTATTAAGGACTAAAGTTATGGAGGATTGAGGGCGTGGCCTATTTGAGTGACAGGTGGGTGAGCAAATCTGCCACAAACAAAGTCTTGGCCTTAAACACCCCTCCTCTTTGCCCATTTTTGCATTAGCTGGGAGTTAGGGGCGGAGTCAGACACTGCCAAGATGGTGATGGTGTAGCAGCTCACTCTGAGATTGAAAAGGTAGGAGGCTACATCCATCTTTATTTACAGTCTATGGTGTTGGCCCTTTTCAAGTCTTTACTGCCTCAGTGGGAGTTGAAAAATATGAATTTGCTGCTTGTTTCTAATTCTACTTTGGCAGCCAATTTACAGTCTTATAACTATTTTAATCTCACAGTCTGTTTTAACATTAAATTTAGCACAGCTACAAAGATTTCACACCACATACTTGATGCTTCTTCACACCATCCTCTGAGAAGCTGAGGTGCAGTGTTATTTAAAGGTTTGTCACCTGGTTGCTTCTGCTGCTCCAGCTGTGCCTCGGGACGATCGGCCCATAAACAATAATCTGGATTATTCAGAAGCGCCTTGCTCTGCCCACAGCTGAGACACCTCACCACAGTGAAGCGAGTCTTTCTCTTTTTTCCTGAGAAAACAAAAAGAAGGTTAGTGATTCAAACTGACAGAATGTTTATCTCTGAAATGCATAAATAAACTAGCTCAGTAATCTTCTGGAATATCTATCACTCAGTACACAGTGCATGGTAACATGGGAAAAATAAACAGCAGTGTTTATGCTGTGCCTCTAAATGGCAAACTTACTTCGTTGTCTTGTTGTAGCAGTTACACCAGGGATGAGCAATGAGCAGCACTTCTTGCATAATGTTCTCTTCACTGATGGGTCTCTGCAATAAAACGAACCATTAACTGACACTGAAAAACACATTCATGCCCTGAGAGGTGGAACTTCATTCAAGTTAAGGATGGTTGTGTCTGAAGTTTTCATTTTTTTCAAATTCACCACACCTCTGAAAAACCAACAATGTGTGGCTGTGGCTCTCATCCCAGAGTCCATTGGTTCCTACTAAGGATGCTTATCTTTTAAAATGGGTTACAAATATATACTTTCAGTTTAATAAAAGGTGCAGTAATTTCCAATAAACATTCCACAAGTATGAATTAATATTTACTGGTGAATTAATACATATTTGGTGCACTAATGAGTATTAACAACAGCATGTGGAACTGACAAAAAATAAACTACACTGAAGTAATATGCCACCAAGTGCAATGATGTGGCTCTTTAATAGTTATTTGCACAGAGGAATATATTGTTTTATATCAGACTTTGAGTACAAGGACAACATTTGTCTCTATGATCAGTTCATGATTGGTTTTGGTCTTTTAATGGGACAAAAATATATATTAGAATATCAACTGCCTTATCCATTAAAAAAGAGCGTCAAATTAGCAAAGTTAGATAAAAAAATCAACTGATGTATAAAATTAAATAAAACAAAATATAAATATAAAAATATAAAATCAACTGTGGAGCCTGAAACATAGATAAATAACGCGAGTTTCCATTAATGGGCACATTTTCCCTGCCTATTAAACCGTATAAATAAAACAAAAACAAAAACAACACATAAACCATGCTGCTTTACTTAATTGGAGCAAGTGACGTAACATTGCTCACAATCCTACCTTCAAAATAAAAGTAACGACAGACCAGCAGCTCTGGATGATAGATTTAACTTACTGTCTGAGAACTAATCGTCTTGCAATGGTCTTCTGTGTGAAGCAGTAGAAACGAGCCAGCTCGACGTTTTCTGGGTTTTCAGATAAAACATGATGTGCAGCCTGTGGAGGAATAAAACTGTTCGTTAACTCGTTAGTTACCGCTGAGCGAGGTGGCTACTTGCTAGCATGTTAGCCACGTGATTAGCGGTTAGCTTTAAACCTAAGTGTTGGTTCCGTACCTGGTATAAATAGTTCAGTCGTTGATAAGCTTCTTTGTCTTTCAGGTTTTGCGCCATTACATATAAAGGTCAGAAAGAAACAGACTCTCAGCTCCGTCTTGATGCGAGTAAACTTTGAGCTGCTACAGCCTGAGCTCCGCCGGTAACAACCGTTGCACTTCCGTGCCACCCCTTCACAATAAAAGCGCCCAACAAAATTACCGACAAAAAAAAAAGAAAAAAATCTAAATGAGACTACTTCAAAATAAAGACACTTTGAGATCACACATATTACCTGTATAGAATCCACTTATCCTTATATAAAAACTAACAATGATAAATGAAAGTCACCATTAGTTCCACAAACATACAGTATAGGTAGAGCAGGTTGTTAATGCTCTACTGTGTGACATTAGAAAAAAAAGGTGATGACTGCACACCAATCACTTTCACACCCAAATCACAAAAGCAAGAACAGTTGCATTTATTTCGAGTGCGCAGACAAGGTTGTTAGTTGTCCAGAAAAGAAAAAGAAACAGTCAACAAATTGTCTTTACCAGCCTTCAACAGCTAACCAGAATGATATGGCCACTTTTTTTTGTCAAACTACTTATTAAGTACATAATATACACATGGGAAAAGCGCATTTGTTTAGTCCAGAAGAACACAAAGGACAGATTTCAACATACAATACTCATTTTTAATAACAATAGAGAAGAAAGTATAAACCCTGTCAATCTAACATCTTAATTTGCCTGTAAGGTGCACCTCTGGTATCCGGAGTCTAATGATACAGGGGAAGAACTGGTACAGTAAGTCTGTTGGGTGTGGCAATCGAAGAACTACACAATCACAGCACATGCTCATGATGACAAATGCACTGAAATGTTTCCTATAAAAATCTGTGAGAGAAAACGTCCATAAAACACGAGTCGATGTGGAAATAGCAAAGAGTGTTCAATGAATGAGACCCATTACATCACAAGAAGGGGGACAAATATGAAATTCAAGTATCAAAATAACTAAGACACTGACAAGCTGAAAAGGTAAATTACAAAGGTAGTAAAAATCATGGGAAAAGAGACACTGACACAATCAACAATACATTAGGCAACATTTTGCATTTGTTTAAGGCAGTTGATTAAAAAAACTAAACAGAACTAGGCATCTTCTTCATTCCAAGTTAAATACAAGCCTAGCCCTAACTTGTCACCAGGAGATCTGTTGTACAAAACAACTACGACTGACTCTGAAACTAAGCACTTTAGTTTGACTTGTCTTCTGACGTCTGAGTGAGAATAGAGTTCACGTGGACAGCGGTGGGGTTGTGCTCTATATTTTTGGTCTTCTTCACAGTGAGGTTTGTCAGGGCTTATAAGGCTGGTGCATCAAGAGTGGCATGTCACTCTCAGCCTATTGTCTGGCACGAAATCTAAATGGTTGGCACATATCTGTGCACAGCATGGGAAGGCAGGGTAGCGAGTTTCATCAGCTAACGATTGCCCTTCATGGCCTCCTTGGCTGCCAGGATGAGAGGTGTGAGGCTGGAGAGCGGCTTCGCCAGCTTCAGGAACGGATGCTGCACGACAGGATTAAATGAACAAGGAAGAGGAGTTAAAGTTAAAGTGTTACTTCAGTTAAACCACTGAAGAGTTCAATGAAAAGGAAATATTGAACAATGAAAAGTAATTAACCTGCAGCAGCTCTTTGCCTCCGCCTCTTTTCTCCACATCCATTTCCAGACAACGGTTGAGGAAATCTCTGAAAACTGGAGACAGCTTCTCAGGATTCTGAAGCTCAGGTGTGCCGTTCGTGGCAATCAGGTATAACGCCTGCATCAGGGGAAGAGACGAGAGAAAGGACAACACACTGTGACATCTACTACAAGGTCATAACTCACTTCTCATGACGTGAAGGTGCATCGGGTTAATCTGGTAAAAACAGGAAAATTTAACAATCTGTTCTGTTTTTAATACATGATATTTAAGTGTTACACAAAAACATTACAAGGAAAATCTTTAACATTTTCTAACCCATCATTCACACAGATACTTTAAGGCCTTTTCCTCCTTTACAAAAACCAATAACATACTGTAACTGATAGGACTAACAGGTTTTGACTGTGTTTACATTGAAGGTCTGTGAGATGGAGTATAAACAGATTAAGAGCAGGTAATTCAACACTGGCTGTCTGCAGGGTTCACCATGTTAAATGACCCAGTACGAGACAACGAGCTTCCTCGTTACCGTAGCAGCAGTATCTAGCAGTATATAGTATCTGCTACAGGTCTGATGGTTCTGACTGGAACTACACAAAAGAGGATTAAACAGCCTCCTGGACACAAATCACTGTCGCACCACTGTCTTAGTTTTAGTTTACATGCGTGTCCCGTCTCCCAGCAGCCTGCAATCACACACATGTACTCACACTGTCGCCTGAAGCAGCCAAAAGAAAATATCTAAGAGTTTTGTTAATTAATGTAAGACTTTTTAAAACCTCATGAAGCCATTTTTTGAGGAAACTGAATTCAATGCTTTTTAAAACTTGATGTGTTTTCCATGAGGACACACACACACACACACACACACACACACACACACACACACACACACACACACACACACACACACACACACACACACACACACTTCATTATGGCAGGATTCAATGGACAGAACTCAACAGTATCCGCACACCACTTGAATATTAAACAGCAAAAGCAGCCGCAGACAGTAAAACAGGAAAAGAAACTTGACAGATTATTTGTGTCCTGGCAACTTCAGATAACAACAACCATTTAACTCTTTAGTGCCTGACTCATTCCCTGCATCTTGTTACCGCATGGGGAGAGAAGGACAAACTCGTGAGACACTCGAGTGTTTGTCCCACTTTGTGTTGACTCATGAGTGGAGGGACTGCAGACAGAAGTCTTACACAAACAAATCAATGATCCCATGAGTCACTAATTATTTTTGCATCAAGTTACACCCCAAGCAATTATGTACATTAGCTTCTGACAGAACTTTGAACCAAAGCCTCAGATGATTTATCTGGGAGAGGTTCGGTCAGTGTAAGTGTTGGAAATGAAAAACACATCCTGGCAGCCACATCATGCTCCACAGAGAGGATTGAAAATACTCTGTACTCACTCGTAGTGGGTTCTCGTTCAGGTAGGGAGGCTCTCCTTCAACCATCTCAATGGCCATAATACCCAGTGACCAAATGTCTACTTTAGGCCCATAAGCCTTCCTGGTCACCACCTCAGGAGCCATCCAGTAAGGCGTTCCTACCATGGTGCTACGTTTGCTCTGCTCTGGAGTGATCTGGGCACAGAAGCCAAAATCGGCTGTCGAGGAGACGGAGGAGAGTAAATACACAGTTACAGTAAAAGACCACAGTCATCTACATTCATCAGGCTGCTAACAACAGCCGCACAAGGACTTACTCAGCTTGACAGAGCCATCCATCCCGAGTAGCACGTTGTCACTTTTAATGTCTCTGTGGATGACTTGGTTCGCATGTAGGAAATCCAAAGCTTGTAAACACTGCACATGTGGAGATAAATGGGAGGAAATGGGGAAAAGTTGTTGAGCATTTATTTTTTTGTGGGACTTCAGGTAAAGATTCCTCTCGTATGAACCACTGCTGTAAAGTGTGGAGTTTACCTCTCGGCAGACAGCAGCTATCTGGGCCTCATCCATACAAGTCTCTGTAACCACATCTGTCAGCGAGCCACCGGCCAGATACTCCATCACCACAAACAGCTCCTCCCCCATCAGGAAACTGACAACGTGAAATATTCAAGGAGGTACAGAGGAAGACGCTCCACGTCAGATCCAACCAGGATTTTGTGATTACTTGTGAAATGTATGGTAAGTGTTATTACATGCTGTCAGACTGCAGGTGTGCCTTCACTCCTACCTGTCTAAAAAGTTGACAATGTTGGGGTTCTTCAACTCCTTCATCACTAGAATCTCATTGATGATCAGCTCCTTCTTCGGCTGCTTTTGTAGGTTGATCTGTTTGATGGCGACCTGTAGAAAGACAGTACAAGAGGCCACATATTCACATATTCTTAATTATTAAATGAACCATTTATACTCAAGGGACCATAATTCATTTTTCAATCTTTCTCTTCGTCTTTGATGTGACTGTATGTGTGTGTGAGCAGAACTGTAAGTCGTCTGCTTCCTCCGACTCTTCCTCTGCCTGTATGATGAAGCACTTCTTGTCTAACTCTTGTGTACTCTTTTACTTGTTGCTATGTAAATTAGCTTTGTGGTAAACAATCAGTGAGTAAACAGCCATTTATTGTGTCCCAACTTTTTTCTGTAGCATCAAAGTGACCTTAAGATACAAACATTTCTGTTTAAAGTTGGGCTGCACAATCAAACAATGGAAATCATAATAGTTGTGTATTGTTAGCACCATAAGCGTTCTGGTGCAGCTACGACACCCCGGCCTAAAAATCAGATTCCCCCGACGTATTGAAACATGTAAACATGTCTGTTTAGTACAAGACAAAACAAAAATCACATTTTCTCATTATTTTTTAAATGTTTCAGGAAATTAAATGCAAAAACAATCATTCCAACTGAAATCAAAATATCTGCCAAAATAAACACAATATATATATATTTTTTGTGTATTGTGCAGCCCTGGTGGAAAGTATGTGGGTGAAATAACATCCGTATGTTAGTGTTCCCAATGACCCGTGTTTCACAATGAGGTCCACTACTTCACTTCACCGTGTCCCTGGTTAGTGTCATCACTCACCTCTTGTCCTGTGGCGACATCAATGGCTGTGAATACTGTTCCCGACGCCCTGTCAGAACCACGACATCACCAGGTTACTTCAACGCACGTTTAAACCAACAGTCCAATCAAACTAGAGATCATCTCAACCCATAAGTCCTCAGTAATCATTATTATTATTCTAAGTACTCACAAACTTAGCCTTCATGTTGATCTCAACTACACAACAGTGACTGTATCTTGCAGGTCGTGTTGCTATTGTGGTGAGACATATAAAACACCTGCTAAAGTTCTCTGTGGTAGTTCTTGCTACAGTAGGTGTCTCCAGCACTTTTTGCCATGATGACACACACACACACACACACAGACACAGACACACAGACACACAGACACACAGACACACAGACACACAGACACACAGA